AAACACCAAATTCAATCCACTACAATATAATACATATGAAATACAATAAATAAAAAAACACTAACCTATGACAGAACAACCGAACGAACAACCGAACCGAACCGAAAATATAATTTAGCTGGTCAGGTAATGCAGGTAAAGCATAAATAAAAGCAATTATTAAGTAATACTGTTGTTTTATCACCAGAAAAATTCATTATCCTGACTACAGTTTTTGTCAAATAATAGTTTGGGCACGTTATTAAGAATATTATATATGGATAGTGTAAATATCAATTACACTCAATCTTTAATTACTATGTTATTGAAAGGGGTTATTGGTCAACCTCTCCAAAGCAAGCATGTTTACAATATCTGTATCCCGCATACCAAACTTCGGTACAGATTCAGTTTTCCACATTCTCAAAACCACCCTTTGGGGAATTACAATTTAGTATACAACCATATCAAGTGGGTTAGGGATCCTTCTGCTGCTTTACACCTTTTAAAGAGTGCAGATACCCAAGGAAAAATCATATGTAGTTTCACCTTAATTAGGTTGAAAGTTGAGTTAACTCAAAACGTCCTGAAGTTTGTTACCTTAAAATTTTCAGTTAAGTCAACCTTTTTTTTTGTTTGTTTGTTTGTTTGTTTTTTGTTTGTTTTTTTAACAAGTGCAGCTTTCTTCAAAATATCTTTTTTTGTGTTTGTCGGAGGAAAGAAAGTCAAACCGTTTTGAAACAAGTGAAAAGTGAGTAAATGATCACACATTTCAGGTGATTTTTGGGTGAATTATCACCTTTAGTGAACAGTACTTTAACCCTTATGCATTCTTATGGACATTTTTTTTGCATTTTTAGTTCTTCAATTTGGCTGTGTTAATGCAAACAGCCAACATTTGCTCCTCTAATTCTCATGTTTTCTACATTTCTACATATTTTTGCCAAAAATAATAAGATATCAGTTAGTTTTGTATATACTGTGAGTGGTATTTTAATGTGAGACTGCACATAATAATAATAATAATAATAATAATAATAATAATGTATAAAAAATTATATTGGTTCTGATCACTAATATATCCATATATATTTATAATATATTTAATAATATAAAAATATATATAACTGCTTAGTTTTTTTTTGTAAAATTTATGGGTTAAATAAGGGTTAAATCCTTTAAATGAATTTATTTTGGTGATTTTTTGTTTTGTTTTGTTTTTTGACCCTGATATTTTGTTTTTAAAACTGAAAGACAAGGGTTTTTTCTTAATGTGAAGAACCATTTATTTTAACCATCTAAGGAATCATTTCCTACTCTTAATGGAGTGAACATTTTCAATGGAGGTTAAAGGTTTCTCACGGAAACATCAATGCCAAAAGAGAACCTACATTTTTAGGAGAGCATCCATGCAATATCTGCAACAGATCCCATGATCAGTCTGGTGTTTTTAGCAACACTCTTTGCGTAAAATCTAAGATTTGTCAGGGTTTAAAAGACCAGCCATTTGCAGACTCATGGTGCAATCAGCCACAATGTCATGTTTGTTATCTTGGATTTAATAAGGTTATGTGTCAGAAACTGAGAAACTGCAAAACAAGCCACAAAGAAAAACAAGCAGTACGTCTGATTTTGCACTATTGCTCATCCAGTCATAATGTATAGTGACTTAAAATCATGATCTATATATTAAGTTCATGCATTGACTGAAAATCAAGCTAGTGATTTAGGAATTGCTACAGAACTCAAAAACATTATAAAATGCAAATAGGTGCACAGGAAAACACAAAGGTCATTGCTTTGATTCCAAGAGAGTAAATAAATAACATGTATGAAAACTTTGAACTTTGCATAAATATATGAAACGCATAAATGTCAAATTATGGAGAAACATTCCTAATGTCATGAAGTGCATCTACATGTTTCATTTATACACATTGTAAAAAAAAATAATAATAAAAAATTTGTTTGCTTTCTTTAAAAAAGTGAGTAAACCTGTTGCTTTCAAAGCGATTAGTAAACTTTAATTAAATAAGTTTTTACTTAAGTGAGTTAAAGTTGAAGAGATTAGCTCACTTTAATAAAGATAGTGAGTAAACCTATTGCTTTTAAAGCGATTCGTAGACTTAAATAAGTCTAAGTGTGTAAAAGTTTAAGCGATTAGCTCACTTTAAGTAAGTAAACCCAGTAAAGAGATTAGTTGACTTGAATGAGTTTTTACTCAAGTAAATAAAAGTTTCCTTAATTTATTTTTTTTCTGTTGACTTTAAAGCGATAAGTTGACTTTACTTAAAACCGTGAGTAAATTCATTGCTTTAAAGCTATTGGTTGACTTTACTTTCCATGCAGGGTTTACACTTTTAAAAGCAACTAGTTTACTTCATTTTAAAAAGTAAGTAAACCTGTAGCTTTTAAAGTGATTAGTTGACTTTGCTTTAAAAAAGTGAGTAAACCTGTTGATTTTAAAGTGATTAGTTGACTTTGCTTTAAAAAAGTCAGTAAACCTGTTGATTTTAAAGCGATTAGTTGACTTTGCTTTAAAAAAGTCAGTAAACCTGTTGATTTTAAAGCGATTAGTTGACTTTGCTTTAAAAAAGTCAGTAAACCTGTTGATTTTAAAGCGATTAGTTGACTTTGCTTTAAAAAAGTCAGTAAACCTGTTGATTTTAAAGCGATTAGTTGACTTTGCTTTAAAAAAGTCAGTAAACCTGTTGATTTTAAAGCGATTAGTTGACTTTGCTTTAAAAAAGTCAGTAAACCTGTTGATTTTAAAGCGATTAGTTGACTTTGCTTTAAAAAAGTCAGTAAACCTGTTGATTTTAAAGCGATTAGTTGACTTTGCTTTAAAAAAGTCAGTAAACCTGTTTATTTTAAAGCGATTAGTTGACTTTGCTTTAAAAAAGTCAGTAAACCTGTTGATTTTAAAGCGATTAGTTGACTTTGCTTTAAAAAAGTGAGTAAACCTGTTGATTTTAAAGCGATTAGTTGACTTTGCTTTAAAAAAGTCAGTAAACCTGTTGATTTTAAAGTGATTAGTTGACTTTGCTTTAAAAAAGTCAGTAAACCTGTTGATTTTAAAGCGATTAGTTGACTTTGCTTTAAAAAAGTCAGTAAACCTGTTGATTTTAAAGCGATTAGTTGACTTTGCTTTAAAAAAGTCAGTAAACCTGTTGATTTGGAAGCGATTAGTTGACTTTGCTTTAAAAAAGTCAGTAAACCTGTTGATTTTAAAGCGATTAGTTGACTTTGCTTTAAAAAAGTCAGTAAACCTGTTGATTTTAAAGCGATTAGTTGACTTTGCTTTAAAAAAGTCAGTAAACCTGTTGATTTTAAAGTGATTAGTTGACTTTGCTTTAAAAAAGTCAGTAAACCTGTTGATTTTAAAGCGATTAGTTGACTTCAGTGAGTTTTACTTAAGAAAGTAAGTTTTTTTAAATGAGTTTCTTTTTTTGTTGTTGACAAGCAATTACTTGACTTTACTTAACAAAATAAGCTCATGACTTGTAAAGCGATTAGTTGACTTTGCTTTAAAAAAGTCAGTAAACCTGTTGATTTTAAAGCAATTAGTTGACTTTGCTTTAAAA